CAATTAAAATGGTCACCTAAAAATCTTGGAAGTGGTTGTATCCGTCTTCATTGTGTTTAATAATGCAAAAATATGGTTGGCACTTTTGACTATTCTTTGCCCACTTCTATGTATGTCTTCATAATACAGCATTTTGACTATTCTTTGCCCACTTCTGTGACTTTCCACAATTTGCTGACACTTTCACTTGGTATGGGCAAAATAAGAAATTTTATACTTTTTGACTGTTGCAACGTCTGATAAGTGCAATTTACAGGGGACGGTCGAATTTTTCATTAAAATGAGCCAAAAATATGGCACAGACAGGGATTAAATTGCAGCATGATATACTCCTTCATAATGCAGCATTTTGACTATTCTTTGCCCACTTCTGTGACTTTCCACAATTTGCTGACACTTTCACTTGGTATGGGCAAAATAAGAAATTTTATACTTTTTGACTGTTGCAACGTCTGATAAGTGCAATGTACAGGGGACGGTCGAATTTTTCATTAAAATGAGCCAAAAATATGGCACAAACAGGGATTAAATTGCAGCATGATATACTCGCAAAGAACGGGCTTGTTACCAATTGTTTTGAACTCTCGTTTCTACGCGTCTATGCCTCTACGAGCTGTGGTGTGTACAATATCCTTCTTCTCCTGAACATACTTTGTTATATAGAAAATGCCCCTTCGTACAATAAGCTCAAAAACTCTCATGCCCCCTAAAAACTCCATCTCCTTTTTCTATTTTTACTTTCTTAATTTCAATTTCAAGGTACGCTTAAGTTTCTTCTTTTCTCGTACACAACATTCTTACTGCCTCTCAGGATTCAACAACAATAGTAGCACTGGTGAATACGTTTGTACAAACAGTAGAAGTAGAATGTGCCCAGATGGGCATTTCAAAAACCTAATCTTGAAAACATTACACGAAAATCCTAGGGCATTTAAAAACACTTATTGGGAAGTTCCCGATTATTTTAATGTTTTGATAATTGATTCTGAATTGTTTATAAATGTTTTAAAGTCGATTCGACACAGACCAAGTGTGGTGCTCGGTTTGTTCAGATGGGCTGAGGTGCAAAAGGGGTTTAAGCATTCAGAATTTGTATTTTGTACTGTTCTTGAAATTCTTGTGCAGAACGATATGATGTCATCTGCTTATTGGGTGGCTGAGAGGGCCATCAGCATGAATTTGCACTGTGTTGTTGATGTATTAATTGATGGATACTTGAAATATGATGTCTCGGTCAAGTTACTTGATTTATTATTGTGGGTTTACTCAAAAAAATCTGATGTTAAGCATTGTTTACTTGTTTTTGACAAGATGGTAAGGATCAGGTTTTTGCCGGATGTGAAGAATTGCAACAGAGTTCTTAGGATACTTAGGGATAGAAATTTGGTTGCGAAAGCTAGAGAAGTGTATGGGATGATGGGGGATATTGGGATCGAGCCTACAATTGTAACCTATAACACGATGTTGGATTTACTATGTAAAAAAGGTGAAGTGCAGCAGGCACTTGACCTTTTGCTGGAGATGCAGCGGAGGGATTTCAGTCCGAATGATGTTACATATAATTTGATGATCAATGGGTTGTCAAAGAAAGGTGAGTTTGATCGGGCCAAAGAGTTGATTGGGGTGATGTTGAATAAAGGGTTGGAGGTTTCATCGTATACATACAACCCTCTTATAAGTGGTTATTGTCAGAAGGGAATGCTTATCGAGGCACTATGGCTTGGGGAAGAGATGGAAATTAGAGGAGCCTTGCCTTCTATATCGACTTACAATGCATTTATGCATGGGTTCTGCAAGTTAGGGAGAGTGAATGATGCCTGGCAATGGATTCCCGTGATGCTGAAGAAGAACTTGATGCCTGATGTTGTTACATACAACACTCTGATATATGGACACTGTCAGTTGGGGGATATTACCAAGGCTTTGTTCTTGTTGTTTGAGATGAGGAGAAGGAATGTCAAACCTACTTTGATAACCTATAATACAATGATGGATGGACTGTGCAAACATGGGGATTTAGATTCTGCTATGCGGCTGAAAGATGAAATGATCAGTTATGGCATTTTTCCTGACGCTTTTAGCTATACAATTCTCATAGATGGTTCTTATAAGGCAGGAAACTTATTGATGGCGAAGAAAGTATTTGATGAGATGGTGAGCAAAGGGGTGGAGCCTGACCGGCTTGCCTACACAACTTGCGTTACGGGTGAACTGAAGCTTGGTGAGTGATACTTCTATGCCATTCTTGTTACAAGAAGGAATGCTATTAATGTATTATGTTTTTTGCGGATGGGATATGTATTTTGGATCGTTTAGAATAAGCTTGTGAATTTTTTTGAAGATGGTCCGTGATGGTGCCTTGCCTGATCATATTGCATATAATAGCACCATTCACTTTGACTTGGAAATTGGTATCTTAGGAAAGCCAGGGAGTTGTTCTAGGGCTGGTATGCTGCAGCTGTGAGCCCGTGACACACATTTTGATATATACTTGAGTGCATAAAGTAGATAGATATGTCCATGACAGAAGTAGTTTTGGAGCAAAACTTGAATTCAAAACATTTGTTCTTAGTAACCAGGGCGAAGAATTGAAGAAGATGATTGGTGCAGTTACTTATATTTTGGAGCAAAACAGTAAGCTAAGCCTCATTCACAATAAATTTGGGGTGAGCTATATGAATCCTTTCTCGTGATTCTGTATTGCTATGTCTATTTGAAGATCCAAGTCAACTATTTTTCTCATCATCAAAGAAAAAATTGGCTGTCGATGACATTAGTGCACTAATTTAATCCACCAAAAGTTAAAGATGTATTTTCAGATTTTCATTTGGCCCTGAAATTCCAGCAATACTTATTTAAATGCCTACACTTGATCACAAATAATGGTAACCTGGGTCGGTGCTCATTGCTGCCATTTAATTCCTTCTGTTTTTATTCATTTGTTGTTAGCAATCTTAAATGGAGTAGCTGTCCCAATTTTTTGCCTTCTAATGTTGCATGGAAGATGAATCTTTTTTTAAAGGTGCCACCATTTAATCCCAAATAGATTAGGCATTTAGCAGCAAAGATAATAGTTGTGGTTAAAGGCTTAAAGCTAATATAATGTGAGGAACACAATACAGCATGGTAACTATGTCTCTCATCACGCTGGAGCAAGAATGTGGATGAAGTGAGATTAATGGAACACTTCCATTACAACTTCATTTCATGCTTGAAGTTCCCTATTGACTTGCTTAGCTGTTTTTGTATTATAATTTATCTCACTTCAGGTCTTGCTCATTTATTTGTGTACAGGGTACTTATCAGGCCACATCCTGCAATTTGGCACCTGGTTCATGGATTGGCATTGTTTACCTTGTTGTATTACATTTTTGTTATTTCAGGTCAGTTTATTTTTTCAGCACACTCTTTTTTTATCATTTCTTCAATGATGACTATATTGAGTTTTCAATTTTTTATTTTTTTATTTTTTTATTTTTTTTAAGGTCTGTGGATTGGAGTGGTGCCTAAGGATTCAATTGATGGTAGAGTTTCCCTTTTTTCCTTGTTAAATAAAACATTATGTTGAGTAAACATCTTCTGATGTTCAAACCATACAAGTTCACTCTTAATCCTTACGCTGATTTATCATTACCCCTTTTGTCTCCATCTGAACTAAAAACAGTTCACGAGCTGTGTCAAGCATCTTAATTTCTAAAGATACTGAGCCAAATTAAATCTTAGTGGTACAAAGGTGAAAGTAGGATGCTAATGCTGTACAAATCCGGGAAAACTTATCTGTGAGTGTCCTGATTTTCTATTGAAATCTGTATTTAATTTTCTTACTCATAATGTATCTTACAACTCGGGAATGAAGTTGGTAATGGTATTTAGAATATCCCGAGTTTGAGCACCCATTTCTTATTTCCCAATCACTTCTCACTACCCTATAACGATTCCTTTTATTATCTTGAAACCTATTGGTTCCTACTGCCACGCGTTTTATGTAACGTGGTTTAACCGCAAGTGTACGGTGTCAAGTTTTGTAATATAGTGATAGAATTGAAGTGTCGAATCCACAGGGATTGATGTTTGATTCCTACTGAATACTATATTATTTTAACTTCTACTTTATTCAGAAAACCAATTTTTGACTTGATGTGTTCATGCTAAATTAATATGATGTGAATTGGATGGCAATTCAAACAACTCAAGATGAAATATATGAAAATAATCAATGCAAGGAAGTCTAGAGAATGATTTCACCGCCCTATCGACAATGTTTTTCAATTTCTATGGTTATTTCTCTAAATTTTCCTCAATTTATAGGCAAGAACCGTAAATTAATCCCATTCCTTCTGTCGAGTGCCGAATAGAATTTATTTCTATACTCTAACCCCAATATCTCTATTCCGGATTATATTTATAAAAATTATTAAGTCCTTGGTTCTTGATTTGAAATAAGCCTCAACGAATTTGTACTTTCTCTCGAAACCTACTGAATCTAGGTTATGTTATTCGTGGATCAAGATTAAACCTCCCTCTCTCGAGTGCCGAAATTCAATATATCAAATTATTCAACCATTGATCAGGTGATTGAAAGCAATAAGCATAAATAACACAAATAAATGCCGAAAAATTAAAGAAATACCATATCAACGTCCAAACATTGTATCAAGTTCGGTTACATCAAAGCCTCCAGGGCACATCTCCAAGTGGTAAAAGGGGAGGGTGGAGAAATCCAGCTTTGCTTGAGGCTGTTGCGTCAAGCGTTCGAATCCTGAAATATGGATTTGGCTCTTGGGTAAGTGTAAGTGTACAAGCAGCCTTCCACCCTGTACCCTTGGAGGCATAACCTGCGATTTACCTCCCTCACGATGCTCCAGGGCAGGGGTGGTGGGGGACTCTTAAGGTTAGGGTTTAACCTTTTTTTTTTTTTTTTGAAGTTCGGTTATATCACCCATAGATCTAAGATTTTAGTTCATAATTGATGAAAATGAAATTCTAAAATACAAATAAACGAGCATGGAGAAGAAGAGATTAGGAAAAACTCAGTTGATGCTTCGAATCTTCTCCTAATGATTGTAGATCGTCCTCCTTGAAGTGCTTTTTCTCTTTTTTTTTGCCTTGAGTTGTCTTTTCAATGCCAAGAGTTATCAATTAAGTCTTCTTCGTTGTATTTATACTTCCAAAAGTTACAAGACGAGAAGGATCGGATCTGGGCCAAGAAAAATTCAATATTGGCGCTGCGACATTTTCTCCTGCTGGCGCTGTAGTGCCCAAGTATGGCGCCGCAACGCCAATCTCTGCTGATTTATGTGTGCTGGGGCGCCAGCCCTACTGATTTTCCTCATTAATTGGGCGCTGTGGCGCCCAATAGACTGCCTCTATTTGGATTTTTCATCTTCAACATCGCGTTTCCATTTCAATTTTTCTTTTCTTATCTCCAATTCATGCTCCAATTTTACGATCACCATTTTAGCTCCATTATAAGCTCCAGAGTGTAGCATTTTCCCAAAAGTTGTTTAAGTTGCAAAACAACATGAAAACGCTCATGAAAACGTTCAAAAGTGCTCAACGACAACCCGAAAACTAAGATTTAAAGGTGCTAAATTGATGAGTGAATTGCACTCATCACCTACCCACTAGAGCTCTTTGACAACATTAAAAAATCAAAAGCTCCTAAACCTCTCTATCCATTCAAGGGATGGGCACGCTCCATTCAAGAATTGGGGTCTCAAAGTCATGATGATCTTACGTTATGTAACTTCACCTAAATGAAGTTGTTAAGATCTTTTTTTAAATTTTTTGGTGAAGTTGGATAGAACCTGTAAGTTTGAGCAACCATTTCTTATTCCCCAATAACTTCTCACTACCCTATGATAATCTTAGACAATGTAACTTCACCTAAATGAAGTTGTTAAGATCTTTTTTTAAATTTTTTGGTGAAGTTGGATAGAACCTGTAAGTTTGAGCAACCATTTCTTATTCCCCAATAACTTCTCACTACCCTATGATAATCTTAGACAATGTAACTTCACCTAAATGAAGTTGTTAAGATCTTTGTTTAAATTTTTTGATTAGGTTGAGTAGAACCTGTAAGCTTGAGCACCCACTTCTTATTTCCCACTAACTTCTCACTACCCCATAACAATTCCTTTTATTATCCTGAAACCTCTTGGTTCTTACCCACCAGAATTCTTTGACAACATTAAGAAACCAAAAGGTCCTCAACTTCTCTATCCATCCAAGGGATGGGCACGCTCCGTTCAAAGAATTGGGGTCTCACAATCACGATAATCTTACGTAATGTAACTTCACCTAAATGAGGTAAAGATCTTTGTTCAAATTTTTTGGTCAATTTGACTACAACCGGTAAGTTGACTGCTTTAAGGAATTTTAAATAATATGGTAGCACAGGTTCCTTTCCTTGTCCAAAAATTTCTGGCGTTGCTTGCTATTTCCATTTTTTTTTTTTTTTTTTTTGGCTCAAGAGCTATGT